TGGGGAAATATTGTGTAAATTTCTTGCATAATTGTATTCACATATGTTTAATATGTAGCCTCAGGTTTAATTTTAAGCCTTCTTAGGTAAAAGTATTGAAGTTAACTGTCATGTTCTCACTACTGTGCAGCTAAAATTGCACCCGATTGAAAACTTACATTGTTTTATCTTAACATGGTTACAGAGTATTTTTTATTACTTACTCTGCAATAAACTATTGACCTGAAGAGCAAAAGGTTTACTTCTGAACAGAGAAGATGTATCTTTGAATCAGCTGAGTATAGGATAGAAGTTTGATTCAATGCATACTTTATTTATTTTTAAAATTATTTAATTTAATTTATTTATTTTTGGCTTCATTGGGTCTTCGTTGCTGCACGTGGGCTTTCTCTAGTTGTGGCGAGTGGGGGCTGCTCTTCATTGTGGTGCAGGGGTTTCTCATTGTGGTGGCTTCTCTTGTTGCAGAGCATGGACTCTAGGCACGTGGGCTCAGTAGTTGTGGCTCGCGGGCTCTAGAGCGCAGGCTTAGTAGTTGTGGTGCACAGGCTTAGTTGCTCCGCGACATGTGGGATCTTCCCAGACCAGGGCTCGAACCTGTGTCCCCTGCATTGGTAGGCAGATTCTTAACCACTGCACCACCAGGGAAGCCTGCATACTTTAAACTTTGTTTTTAATTTGTAATAATAATCTACTAATGAAAAACCCATTAAATTAGGAAAACTCTAGCTCAGTGATTTGTCGAATTTAGTATTGGAGATTAGGCTGTGAATTTTCCTCTTTTTCCTTTGTGTTATAAGTACTTTTATATATGAAATTGAGTATAAATACCAATGCTAATAGCCTTCAATGAGTCTTCCCTTCTGCACATGCATATTTAAAATAAAATAGCATTTTCTTTTGTACAATAAGTTAGTTAAAGCAGGTTTAATATTGTAACTTCCTTGAGTTCCAAGCTTGAAACTGGAAGTTCCTGATGGAAATAGAGCTCACATCTACCATGAGGTGGAAGGTAAAATATTTGTTGAACTAAAGAGAGCATAAATAGACTGCATCCTGTGGGAGGAGATAAGATTACTGATGATGGTGTACCAATATAAATAACTAAGAATCGTCCCCTAAGAATCGTCCCCTTCCTTTATTTCAGTCTGGTAACACTGTGTACATAATGTTAAGATTTTTGTTTCTAAATTCTTTGAGTGCTCCTCAAAGCTAATGAGTGTTGTCAAGTTACCCAGACAGTGCTAGTATTAGTTTCATTTGTGAAAATAAGGAAACTTGAATTGTTATTCATATAAGTATTTTAGTACTGTAAACCATCCCATATTTGTTTTGTAATCAGAGTCAAGTGTGACTCAAGTAGGTCATAATAAATGTCTTTGTATTGTTACTTTTATACTTCATCCCTTCCAAGTTCTTTGTACATATTTGTTGCTATAGGTCGGGGATGGTAGTACTCTGGGAGAATGTGATGAATACAATGGATATGAATTGAGCGTAGAATGATGGGGTATATGTGGTTACCATTGGTAATATTAAGAGTTGAGAAAGAAGTGAAAAATCTAAGAAAGGAGATAGTTGATGATAAAGAATGACAAAGAGAGGAATAGATAAAAGAGTGTAAAACCACACAAAGAACTACTTATAGAACAGTTACTTACATCTGTACTGGTAGATAATGGAGTGGCCTCTTGAAAATGAATTTCTTTATTAGATTATCTGCAAATTCAAAGTTATTTATTTCTAACTGTAGATTGTAGTACAAAGAAATAGTTTAATAATTTCCTTGGTCCTGCATATAAGCATATTTGTTTTTCATGTAGAGTCTTCAGAGAATCATGTATTGAAGATTCTTCTTTAAAAAGCAAGATACAATTCACACATCCTTAGATCATCTGCCTAAATTGTAAACCTTCTGACATCTTCAGTAGTAATTTAAAATTCTGTTTTCCTCGGGACTTCCCTGGTGGTCCAGTGGTTAAGACTCTGCATTTCCAATGCAGGGGGCACGGTTCAATCCCTGGTCGGGGAACTAAGATGCCATATGCTATGTGGCATTGCCAAAATATTAAAACAAACAAACAAACCAAAAAAAAATATATATATATATAATAAATATTATTGCACATTCATTCAGTGTGAGGCACTTTAGATGCTTGGAATGCTCTACTAAGCAGGATAGACACCATGCATTTTAGAGAAGACCAGGCAAATAAGAAAGAGATGATGGAAGTGTGATCAAGTACTGTGACACAGGAAAGTACAGGGTGCTATGGGACAGGTCAGGAAGAAGTGATAATGGAAGCTGAAACTTAAATGATAAGTAGGAGTTAGCCAGGAGAAGAGGATATCAAGGAGTTATTGAAAGAAGAAATGTATGAAGACCCTGAGGCCAAAAAAAATTTTTTTTTCTAAAAATATGACTTGTTGACCACTTGTATTGAATGTAGGGTAGATGTGAGATTTGAGAGCGAGGCTAGAATCAGTTTAACAGTGTGGGCTTACATAAACGGAATGAGAAGTCGTTAAAGGGCCTTAAGTAGAATAGTGACATGAATTAGGTTTGTTTTAAAGGGCTCTCTGGTTTCAGTGTGGAGAATGGATTGGAGGGAAGAAAACTGAAGGCAGTAAAGTCATAAACTGTTCAGTAACCCAGGTGAAGAATGATAGTCTCCTTTAAAGACATGGTGTTCTGTGGATGGAAAGAAGTAGATATCACTGAAAGCAGTAAGGTTATTTTAAGAATTAAAAAGGATCAAGGAGTGGAAAGTCTCCATTAGTTTTAAGTGTTTTGAAGTCATTGGTGACTGGAAGTGCTTTTTCAGATGGCTTGTAAGTTAATGAGTGAATATGTGAGGAATTAAGAACAGATAGTATAGACAAGTCACAGGGAGAGAAGTGGAAGCATGATAATTCTTCTAGCTTCTTTTCATAAATAGCTTACATTTGGAGCATATGTTTTTTTTGAATTTTATTTTATTTTTTTATAGTGTGTTCTTATTAGTTATCCATTTTATACATATTAGTGTGTAATGTCAATCCCAATCTCCCAATTCATCACAGAGCATATATTGATGAGTTAATTTTTGCAAGGTACTAGAACATAGCTTGGTTCATAGTAATTAATCTGTTAAATGTTAAAGAATTTTGACCTAGATGACTATCATATATATGTGTCAGATATAATCCTCCTCCTCCTCCTCCTCCTGTTCCTCCTCCAAAAGCTCATAAGTAAGAGCTGATGAAATAGATTTCATTTCAAGGTGATGTGATAGAGTTAGCATTTTCACATCGTTGATTTCTTATTCTTTCATGCTTAAATAAGTACACTGGGAATCTGAAATTAGATTGTGTGAGTTTGTATCTTCTGTTGCGAACTACTTACTTGATATTGGGTAAATTTCTTAAACTCTGAGCCTCAGTGCCTGGCAAATAATAGTAGGCCTTTAAATATTTGTCAAAAAAATTTTTAAAGTATTTAAGAAAAAAAGTGCTACAAAAAAATCAGGAGTAATCTTATAGTCACTTTCTACTGTTTTCATGTACTGATTTTGCTTACTTTTTCCTTCAAACCTATTCTACACCCTTCACTCTAGAAAAATTGCCATTTACTATCTATATTTTGATTTTCTGTACTACTTTATCTACCTGAATGGATCTTAGTCCATGTTAAATTTCTCATAGCATCTAACACTATGCTAGGTAATTTATAAACACCTAGTTAATTGTTGGGTTTCTTTGAGCATTTATTAAAAGGTGTAAAAAGAATGTATGTCATTGATAGCATTCGGCTCACTGAATGCTTTGTCTCCTACACCCTTCCCTTCACTTAGGCAAAATGATGCAAGTATGAGCATTTTTCTTAGCTCGAGGATTTCATTTTCTTATAGTTCTACTTAAACTATATATGTTTTACTTCTGTACTTTAAAACTCAAATGTGCTTTATATTCTAGGTCCGGTTTATCACTAAAATATGGCATCCTAATATTAGTTCCGTCACAGGGGCTATTTGTTTGGATATCCTGAAAGATCAATGGTAAGAGATTTTGAATTCACCTTCAACCCTCTCTCATATGAATTCTAAGACTGTTTAGAGTGTTAAATGTGTACTTGCCTCAAAACATAAGCATACTTTTATTTGGCAATAATTTTAAAACTAGATGAAGTCTCTTAAGTACATAAGAGAAAATACGTTACAGTTGAAACTGGAATCTATATTTAAATAGTGATTTATTAGGTAATGTCAGATGCTAGCTTTCCATCTTGAAAAATTTTGGATTTTATTTGTCGCTTTGGTAAATTTGATTTTTTGCTATCTCAGAAAGATATTTGTGAAAGACTAAAATAATTTAAGTATTGTAGTAATCAGCTCTGACTTGGATGGAATGTAGACAACAAAAATGTTAAAAGTTGTATTAATTGAGTGCGATTAAGGTTCTAAGATTCTAAGAAGTACCTTTGTAGGTGGTATCACATGTTTTGTCTGATTTTATCTTAGCAGTATAGTGTTTAACCACTAGGTTAAAATCGTGGCTCTGCCATTTACTCATTTTTGTGGTCTTGAGTAAATTACCTGGTCTTTTGCCTTCGTTTCCTTATTGGAAAAAATTGGGGGTTAATACCTATTTCATAGGGCTGTTGAGAAGAGTAAATGAGTTGTTTTATGTATTTCTCTTAGATTAGAGCCTGGCATATTCTAACAATATGGATTGAACAACCAAGACAAGAGATATAAAAAGACATTGGGGTGGAAGAAAACAATAAGTTATGTGTTTGATTTGTTAAGAAAGGGAAAGAAATGAACCTGAATAAGCTGAAACAGGATGACAGCATTTAGCATATGGGTCACTTGGTATATTTAGTAATTGGATAAACAGACAAGAGTTGCTGGTTTTGTTTTGTTTTTCCATTCTAATAGCACACCTGAGTAAAGCCTCTCCCTCAGTAGATCATCTCTTGGGATCCAGTTTCCTGATCTGTATTCCATACTGTTAAACATTGAACATCGTGGACTAGACCTAACTTTATCTTCTGTCATTCTTTTGATTTGTGACTTTTCACAATTTATTGAATTTCTGTGCCTCCATGTTTTTATCTATAAAGTCATCTTGAAGACCCATTATAGCTCTGTTGTTCAGTGATATTAATGAAAATTTGCAGTATTAGAGACATTGTCCTTTTTTTCACTTGGTTTCTAGGACATCAGTTCTTCTGTTCTCCCCTTCCTTTTCCCACTCCTAGACTTCTCAACTAGTTCCTCCCTCATCTCCTGGAGCTTTGTACATGAGAATACCTCAGGGCTAAGTCTGCTTTTTTCCATCTATACTCATTTCCTTGGTGAGCTCATCTGATTTCATAACTTCACCGTTTATATACTAGCAACTCACATTTTCTGAACTCTATAGACTCATGGCCTGCTGCCTGTTTAACATCTATACTTGAATATGTAATGGACGGACATCTCAAACTTAAACATGTTGGAAACAACTGTTTCCCCAGCCCAAAATTTACTTCTTCCCCATGTAAGTTTTGGCAGCTACATCCTTGCAGTTGCTAAGGCCAAAACTTCATCATGATGCTTGTTTCTTCTTTCTCTGGTACCTTTATACCAGAGAAATCTGCAAATCCTGTTGTTGAAACCGCCAACATTTTAGCAGCAGTTCATTACTACTACCTTGGTCCAAGGTTGCATTGCCTCTTGCCTGGATGGTTACAGTAGCCTGTCCTGCTTCTGAGTTTACTCAGGCTATTCTCAGCAGACAGAATGAAACCTCCACCCCTTTGAAAACAAAACTCCACACTAAAATTTTCCACTGTCTTCTCTTCTTGCTCAGAGTTAAACCAGCAGTACTACCACTTCTGATTATCTTCCTATAAATAGTTGAAAGATTATGGTGTATGTAGAGAACTTGACAGAACACTTTTTATCAGCTATTCCCATTTCCTAAGGCAGGTCAAATAGCTGAATTTAGTCTTTTCATATCTATATCATTGAAATAATAAAAGATATCAGAGACATCAGATAAAATAGGTGAGATTGGATATCCATGGGTTTGTCGCGCCCCCCCCCCCTTTTATTGAAGTAAATTGACATTCAGTGGATATCTAAATGTCAGTGTTTAGGCTAATTTGGAGCAGTTATCTTAGAAAACAGTTTGTTAACCTTGGTCTTTATTAATACATGTGGATGGTGATTTACCTTTAATAGCATTTTGTTAGTATGGGTTATTTCTTAACTTTGTAACTTACCCTGTGTGGAAACCATATTATGTTTTTCTGCGACACCTCTTATGACTAAAGGTGTCTGTTTACCTGGGGAAGAAAATGACAACACATAAAAATTGCACTCATTGGGCTTCCCTGGTGGCGCAGTGGTTGGGAGTCCGCCTGCCAATGCAGGGGATACGGGTTCGTGCCCTGGTCCGGGAGGATCCCACGTGCCGCGGAGCGGCTGGGCCCGTGAGCCATGGCCGCTGAGCCTGCGCGTCCGGAGGCTGTGCTCCGCAACGGGAGAGGCCACAACAGTGAGAGGCCCGCGTACCGCAAAAAAAAAAAAAAATTGCACTCATTGATACTGCTCTTCCAAAAGACACGAACGGGCATTAAGAGAATATCTGTATGGTTGATAAGCTGTGCTCAGCACCATTAGTCATCAGGGAAATGCAAATTCAAATCACAATTAGGTACCACTACACACTTGTAAATGGTTCTCATGCATTGCTGGTAAGAATGTGGTTCAGCCACTCAACCAGCAGTATCTGCCAAAGCTAAATAAGTATACACTTTCGCTGTGGCACAGCAGTTCTACTCCTAGGTATATATCCAAGAGAAATCCATGAGAAATGAGTGCATATGTCCACCAAAAGACTTGTACAAGAATATTCATAGCAGATTTATTCAAACTGCAAGTCACCCAAATGTCTGTAAACAAGAGAATGGATATATAATGCTGTAATCATGCAGTGGAACATTACATAGCAGTAAAAAAAAATAAAGGCATGTTGACACAAACAACATGGATGATTCTCATAGACATGTTGAGTGGCAACAACCAGACACAAAGGAGTACATACTGTATGATTTCGTTTTATGAAATTCAACATGAGTCAAAGCTAATTTTGGGTGATAGAAACTAGGACAGTGGTGGGTAGGTAGGGTCGTGAATAACAGGGGCAAGAGTGAGGCTTTCTGAGTGCTGGAAGTACTATGTAGTTTGATCTAGATGGTGGTTACCACGGGTGTATACATGTATAAAAATTCATCTAGCTGTCAAGCATTTTACTCTGATTATACCTTAACAAAAAAATATAACAAAAAAGCTGCCGTTATTTTTAAGTAGCATTCAGTGTTTCAAATGAACGTAGATTATTTATTAATGGTTTTCTGGAAGATCCTTAACAGACAAGTTAGTCAACAATACACACAATTCGGTGCTTACTCTACATATTAAAGGCCCCACCTAGTCCATATGAATGAATATTAGCCATATTAACTGTGCTTATTAATTTTTGAGATCTGAGCAAAATTAATTTACTGAAGATAGATTTATAAAGTACTCACTTATTTGTATCCACTAATTAAAATTAGCTAACACATTTTGAAATTTCATACTTCTGTTTGCCTTTTAGGATTTGTTTTTAATAGATTTATGCTAATTTTACACATTGAATACTAAAAATATTAATGTATGAATTTAATCAGTTTGTGAAAAGCAAAATAAATGGAATAGAAAGTTGTATTTTTGTTTGTATATTTTTTCACATTACCAAGTTTAGATTTTAAAATTTATGTAGAACAGTCAAAAAATATACACATTTCTTTATACCATCAAAGATGTTATAGTTTCTATAGTATTTACGGTCAAAAGAATAAGTTTTGTTTTAATGTTAATTTTATTACAGCTAATTATTAAAACATTGTCATTGTTTGCCATTGATCTTGTGTTCAGCTTTTAAAAACTTTTCATTTAGGTTTCTTTTTAGCTAATTAATTCGTAATGGTTTATGAATACCTCCCTTGCATTTATTATTGAAAGTTTTCAAGCATACAGAAGACTTAAAACTTTGCTCATTGAGATTGTTACAAATTGAATCTAAAGTTACAGCTCTAGATTTTTCCATAAACTGTCCCTTTGCATTCCCACCAACAGTGCACAGGATTCCAGTTACTCCACATCCTTGCCACCGTTATTTTCTGTTTTTTGACAGTAGCTGTCCTAATGGATGTGAGGTGGTATCTCATTGTTTCATTTACATTTTCCTAATGATTAGTGATGTTAAGCATCTTTTCATGTGCTTATCGGCTATTGGTATATCATATTTGGAGAAATGCTTGTTTAAGTCCTTTCTTGGTCAGGTTTGTTTTTTGTTGTTGAGTTGAAGGAGTTCTTTATATATTTCAGATATTAACTCCCTTGTCAGATCTATGATTTGTAAATATTTTCTCCCCATTCTGTGACTGTATTCTATTCTTTCCCTCTATTGACTTTCACTCTGTTGACTGTATTCTCTGCCTAGGAAGATTTAAAAAAATTTTTCTTTTTCTTTGCACAGAAGTTTTTAATTTTGATGTAGTTATAGATCAGTTTCTCTATTTTTTTCTTTTGTTGGCTGTGCTTTTGCCTGTCCTTTGATATCCAAGAAATCGTGGCCAACTGCTGTGTCGTGGACCTTTCACCCTATGTTTTCTACTAAGAGTTTTATAATAAGTTTAGTCTTGGGAATTCCCTAGAGGTCCAGTGGTAAGAACTCAGTGCTTTCACTGCCGGGACCCTGGTTGGGGAAATAAGATCCCACAAGCCATGTGGCACAGCCCCCTGCAAAAAATTAGTCTTACGTTTAGGTCTTTGATCCATTCTGAGTTAATTTTTTTTCTGATTTTTTTTAAAAATTGAAGAATAGTTAATTTACAATGTAGTGTTAGTTTCAAGTGCACAGCAAAGTGATTCAGTTATACATATATATGTATATATTCTTTTTCTGTTTCTTTTCCATTAAAAGTTATTATAAGATATTGAGTATAGTTCCCTGTGTTGAG